TATATTTTTTTCTTGTCCTCATTAATTAATCTGCTGCTCATACATTTTTGTTCTTTAACTCAACTGTGGAGGAAAAATTGACCTGCATGAGTGGTGATGTGTTGAGCCAGGCTTAACTTTTCAAAGTTCTGTGGTTCAGCAAATAGGATGTGGTATATCCTTATATAAGATAAAATATTACATGTGTTATATAATAGATAATATACATATATTACATAATATATGACTATACACACGTGTGTGTGTATATATATATACATATATATATAACATGTCATATTATATACTATTTATATATATATACACACATATATATATACATATATATATAACATGTCATATACTATTTAATCTTGGTAAGAAAGGGCTCATTGAGGCAAATGCAGAAGAAGACAGCTTTAGGCAGCAAGAGGTCCTGCCCATCCAAGAATAGAGGAAAACTGGCCCGCAGCTTGAGTCTGCCAGGCTAACAGTTGCAACCAGGGAGGACATGGTTGATACTTACTGATCTCTTTCTTCTTTCCACAGCATAACTTCTCGTGGCCAGCGTGTTGACTTCTGATCAGCCTCATCTGAGACTACGCCGTTTCACACATACACAGATGCCCCGAGATATCGGGCTTCAGCTTGCTCTAGAAGAACAGAGTGCGGGTTAAGTTTGTTTGACATAACTGGAAGGGCCGAGCCTCTTCCCATTAGTGGCAATTAGGGGTCCCTCCCCATTTCTAGATAGCTTTTGCGGAGATATTGTTTCTTTCGGGAGAAGAAAATGAATGGGTTGGTGATCCAATACTTCTGTCTCTAAAGAAACCTGGACAGGTGACAAAGGTGCCCCAAGGCAAGAGAGCTGCGTGCTGTGTTCTAAAAGACAGCAGCAAAAGTGCTGAAGTTTAGCTACTTCCTTAGCGGTGTTCATACTCCACATCAAAGAGAGTACTCTGTCTAGGCAGACCCCAGATGTTCTGAATGAAAGGGAAAATAGAGAATCCTCTTAAAATTCTACGGTGCTGTCCCTTGAGACTGCAACAGATGTACTCTGACCATGAGTGCCCCAGCCGCTCAGTGTGACAGTGGGAACAGAAATATCCAGGAGTGCAGGTATGACGCTGTCTTTTTCTACCGTGTCACCTGCGTTTGGACCGTGAGCCTCAGGTGCTCTGACATTCGCATTTCCAGTCACAGGTATGATGCCAGCCCCTTCAGACAGCAGTAGATGTGCTCTGGCCAGGTGGACGCTCGGTGTCTGATGGAGAGTGGGAACAGAAGGGTCTCGTGTCACGCGTGCATTTCTTCTCAGTGGTGCAGCCTTCTCCAATAGTAACAGGGTTCCGTGATTAGATGGGTTCCAGGTGCTCAGACAGGACGCAGGAAGAGCAGTCCAAACACAGTTATGGGGTTGGGGTTGGCCCCTCCCATTGCAAAACACCTACTCCTTCAGGTAGGACCCAGGAGCCCTGACTGCAGATGGGAACGTAAAGGCCCCCAGGCGGAGCTATGGAGTCCAACTGACTGCAATAGACGTACCCTGCTTGGAGGGGTCCCAGGTGATCTGAACACAAATGTCTTATGGCACATGTACCTCCTCAGTGATGCTCTCTCCTCCAGTAGTAGTAGGCATGTCATGGCTGGGCTGGCTCTAGGTGCCCTCATTATAGGTAGGAAGGAAAGCGTTTCCAAAGACAGATTTGCCGTCTACAGTGCTGGCCTCTCCGATTGCAACAGGGATGCAATAGGCTGACAGCGTCTCCCAACGCGAGCTGTGGCGCTGGGTGTCCCACAGGGTCTTGCTCCAAAGCTGAGTGTTCCAGACAAGGAGCTGCAGCCTGGGACGTACACACTGACCCCAAAGCTGCCACGATCTCAAAGGGCACGCAAGCCCCGTAACCCCAAGTGGGTCTGAAGTGCTACTGGCAGAAGGTGAGCTGCAGTTCTCAGGGCTGTGCGTGTCGGCGGCAGCTCCAGAGCAGGACAGAGCGGCCGTGCCAGTGGGGAAAACAACTGAAGTGTCACCAAAAGCTGGCTGGGTGTTGACAGAGATGTAAAATTTGGAACATGGGAGCGTCGGACTCCCCAGAGCTGACTGCCGTTGGGTTCCAGGGCCGCAGTTCGGGCTAAGGTCCTGCTGGGGCCGCCAGGATTCCCAAAGGGAAAGAGCTGTTAAAGCTGTCAAGAAGAGGCCAGAATCGACAGGCTGGGGATTGAGGATGTGACCTATATTGACTTCATCAGAGTCCAAGGCAGGCTTGGAGGGTGAGTCTGAAGAGTCCTGGAGTGAGGCTACTGCAGAGGCAGTGGTGGGTGGGCCAGAAAAGACAGGGGCCTTGAAGAGAGTAGCTTCCTATTGCTGCCCAAATAGGCTCCCAAATTGCAGCTAAAGGGTGACCCCTGCCCCAAAAGGAAGGGGGAAGTTTCCAGTAGGGCCGCTGGCCATCTAAGCAGGTGGGCTGGTGGCGGCTGTGGCCTTTGCAGGGGTTATTTGCTCCACGCTGAGAGCGGCCTGGTCACATGGGAGGGAGCTCACGCTGGATCCTGGTGGAGACCTGGGGATGAAAGCCTGGCAAGGCAGAGTGCTGTCCGTGGCCGTCATACCAAAGTCCAAAGCACCCTCTGAGGTCCAGTCCGCAGACGGGCTGACTGGGCCATTGAGGGGGACTGCAGAAGCAGTGATGAGCTGGCTGGTAAAGACAGGGGACACTAGTGAAAGAGACTTGAAGAGGAGTCTGTAAGAAAAAGGGAAGAGAATCCACACACATAGATGTAGGTGACTCGGTTCTCCAGAGGGCAGGCCTGAAGGAGAAGATGCCAGGAGGTGGTAAGCGAAGTAGAAGACCCTGCAACTGTGACTGCCGAACTGGAACGCAAAGGGCCTCTACTCCCATTATTAAGCAGAACCCCAAAGATGGGCCAGAATCTATAAAGAGCGATGGTAGGAATAGCAAAAGGACGGTTAGACCTGCGTCTCATTTCGTGATGGAGATCTGGTGTGGGGGTAGGTAAAGGGGCAGGTAGGATTGGGGCCAAACAGACAAGTAGGGCAGGTCAGTGACTGCTAATTTGGTAGTTTCTGGAATCTGCAAGGGGAAAGTGGCCAATGGCGAAGTAAGCGCATTCCCTGTGAGAGCGGGCGCGCCGAGGGGAACTGCTGTCTGAGGTGGTCTGAGTTGTATCCTCCAACCCCGTGGCTGCATCTTCCTTGCGGTGCCGTGTGTTCTCCAGGCTGATGTCTTCGGCAATGACCGTACAAGGAAGGTGGGGGGCGGAAGCCTCTCACTTCGACCCCACGGCGGTGGCAGTAGCAGCAGCCGTGGCAAAACTCGTGGCGTTGGAATTTTGTTTCTAGGACCTGCAACCAACCGGTGTGGCTGGGGAATTTCTCCTTGACAGACTCCCTAAAAGCCTTTCTCTCTGGAGTCTTTTTCTTTGACTTCATAAGGTTAGAGGGCTGAGTCCGTGGCCTTCATCAAGCTCTTCTTCCTCACCCTCTCTGGTAGTAGGGGCAGGAAATGGCGGGGCTAGACACACCTGCTGCCCCTCTGCCTCACTCCTGCAGACAAACGGGAGCCCTCCAACAGGGCTGTACCGCCTTTGGGTAAGGAGTTCATGGAAGGCGTCTGTGGTGTCTTACCCAAGCTACCTTCTTGGAATAGAAGTTTCCCTTCTGAGGCTCAGGATGCTCCCAAACGTGCGACTTCTTCTGTCGCCAGAGACCTAGATCTTGATGGTATGTGCTCACCCCTAAGGGGGCCCCTTTCTGGAAGTCCCGGCTTTTGCACGCTTTTCTATGGTCTTCTTTTGATATCCCCTTCCTTCACGCCCCTGGTGACTTCAGCTCAGTTTTTTTTTTTTTCTTAAAGTGAAAAAAATTTTAATTCCTTTCTTTCTTCTGAGAGAGGGAGCATGTGGGAACAGCAGAGAGAGCAAGACAGAGAGAATCCCCAGCAGGCTCTGACCTGGCAGTGGGGAGCCCGATGTGGGGCTCAAACTCACAAACTGTGAGATCATGACCTGAGCTGAAATCAAGAGTCGGATGTTCAACCGACTGAGCCACCGAGGCGCCCCTTTAGCTCAGTCTCCTTTAAACAAGGCTCTGGAGGGTGACTGGATGGCCCTGGCCTTACAGAGGTGACTCCCTGATTAGATGACAAAGGAGGAAGAGAGTCAGTGGTGTGTCCAGGAGGAGGGATCTTTAGCATTCCCGAGTGGACAGACACTATGAGGCACACGCAGAGAGCAGCGGCTCCTTCGGAGCGTCCCCCCGGGGCCACCAGAGAGGACTGCCTGATCCGATACCACCCATTTGGCAAAGGGCCAGACCCAGGCAGAGATGCCTGGGGAAAGGGCCAAGGAGAGGTGCAGGGTGATCTCAGCAGGATGAGAAGCACATGTGTGGGAGGGTGGGGGGACAGGGCAAGAGAGAAGCTTGCTGGGGAAGTTGCCCATGAAGGACGATTTGTGTGCTGTTGGGAGTGTGGTATGAAATGTGGAGGGCTCTCCTGGCTCCGCGCTCCTCCTCGGCAAAACGTGCACCGTTCGGCCTGAGGCTTGTGGCGCAGCACTGGAACCTGGGACAAAAAAGCACACCAGCTAAGCCCACACCCACAAAGGGCATGAGGAAAAGTTGCCAAAGGCGAAGGGCAGGGCCCAGAGACTGAATCCCGGCAGGACTTTCTAGCATTTCCTGACCTCCCACTGCTGGGTGCAGGTTCCAGACGGGCCTGGCAGTTTGGTGAGACTGTTAAAGACTCTAAATTCCGAGGGGCGCCTGGGTGGCGCAGTCGGTTAAGCGTCTGACTTCAGCCAGGTCACGATCTCTCGGTCCGTGAGTTCGAGCCCCGCATCAGGCTCTGGGCTGATGGCTCAGAGCCTGGAGCCTGTTTCCGATTCTGTGTCTCCCTCTCTCTCTGCCCCTTCCCCGTTCATGCTCTGTCTCTCTCTGTCCCAAAAATAAACGTTGAAAAAAAAAAATTAAAAAAAAAAAAAAAGACTCTAAATTCCGAGAGCCCACAGGACTGCCACCTCGGTGCCTAACTGGAGGGCAGAGGCAGAGGCAACCTGTGGTTGGGAGTCAGCCAGCCCATTTCCCTACGGTCACCAGAGGACAGAGCCTGCTCAGGGCCACAGCAGGGGAGCATCCTAGATCTTGCCAAGAAGGCTGTGACGTGCCTGAAAGAAAATGCATATGTTAGATAGATGAGCTTCATTCAGTCATGAGTCATACTGCTATTAACTCTGAGTTCAATGTTAATGAACCAACAGTATAGCACATCCAAAAGCAGGAAGAAACTCACTGGTCTGTAGATGAAGCCACTCAAGAAAGTGTTCATAGTAACTTGCAGAGTGTGTGGTGAAGCAATGAGAAAGATGTGAAAGCAGCTGAAGTTGTGGATTTGTGAGATGAAGGAAAAAAAGACAGGAGAGCATTATTGTGAGCTGAAAGCCAAAACTGAGAGTCATGTTACCCAGATGGGGAAAATGTTAAAACCCTGATCCGCCAGTGCTAGTTGGCTTGCACATTTCAAGAGGCAATACATTATAAACAGTGTTAAGGCAGGTCCTGCAGATCAGGAAATGTTACAGGAAAAGCATGAGGGGGAAGAGTAGGTTTCAATGCCAACGAGACTGGCTTGTTTTACTAGGCTTTGGGCAAAGGAACGTATATAATGCAAATGGCCTCCAAATCACCAGTCTTCAAATTATTCAAGTATTGTGCAATCTTGCAGTTGTGTGTCAATACCAACAGCAACCAACTTTAAGTACGAGCCCATAAAGGTGTAGAGAACTTCAAATCCACCAGAACTGAAAAGGAAACTCTGGTTCAGGAGTTCGGCATATGCCATACACCAGTCCGCTGCAGGTGGAACAAAAAAAATTTGAGAGATGTCAGAAGCATTCTGGGATGCTTCCACAACTGCTCATCCAAGAAGCTGTATTTACTGCTATCTCCAGGGCAAATACTTTGCCTCCAGGGTTGTATTAATTTTGGATAATGCCCATTGGCCCATTGTTACGAACTCGCAAATGCCCACCCCAACCTAGATGTTCTTTTCATGCCCCTAAACACTGTCATCCAACCTCTCAATCAGGACATGACATAAAAGCTTTCGTGGTACGCCACATGAGGGAGCTTTAGACTAAAGCTTACAACACCAACAAAGAAACATGGTGGTTACCATGATGGACTATTGCAGTCGGTCACTATGCGAACTGTCACTGGTTACTGTGTTGGCACAGTCTGGAGACTGTCCCAACAGTGGCACAGCTTGGACAGCTTGTCCCAACAGCTTGGCACAGTCAAGCAGACTACTTTCAGGAACTTGGGAAAATGGCAAAACTGCCTGGAAATTTTCAAAGGCTTTGAAGGTGTTACATAAAACATAAAGAACAGTGTCAAGTACATAATGCATATCACATGACAAGTAAGTGGAAAAACTCCCAATGACGTGAGGGAAGATGTGGAAGAAATACTGACAGAGAAGGTGGTAGAACCCACAAATAAAGACCCAGAAGAGATAGCCAAACAAGGCACTGAAGTCAGTGATGATGAGGATGGTGACGAAAATCACTCTACCACTGAATGAGTCGCCTTTCTCGCAGCAGCCATATATCAGAAATTCTACTTTGGAAAAATGTTCCATGACATAAAAGAATGTGACCCAATGGTTGAATGAAGCCTCATGCAATTTTTCAAGCCACTTCACAAAAGGAAACTGCTGATGTCAACAAATGACAAGAGTCAAATTCCTGAGGTAGAACTGATACCCCACACTCACTGTCTTCCTCTTCTGCAGAATAAATACCATCAACTATGCCAAGGTCAAGAGGTTTCTTCAGAGTGCACTGCTCTATCACCACATATCCAACAACTCTATCAAAATTAGTTTTAGTTAATGTCAATCTTTGATTAATTTTAACCTTTTTTCTGGACTTTCTTCGCATGACTGTACAGTATAACACAGTGTATGTGTTCACATCACTGCTTACTGTGTTTATTGTGTGTGAATACTAAATTATGTATACTTTGTGTATCACTGAGTTAAAGCAGTATAGTAACAGACTAAGTTACACAAAATGATGTAATTGAAATATTTTTATTATAAGGAAATACTGCATATAATTTATTTCTAGGGAACATGTATTAAATAAATGTCTTTTAAACAGAAAAAAAAATTCCATAATGGGTTATGCATTGATTGGTTGATGAAAATGTGAACAGAGGCTCACAGGAACCTAGGAGCTATGGCTCAGTATTCACCAATTCAGTGTTTGTGACCAATGTATAGAATACAACTACAATGAATAACAAGAATTGAATCTGTGCGTGTGTGTGCGTGTGCGTATTTAAGTATTTCATGACTCAGGCCTCTACATCTCTCACAAACATTTATGCTCAAGGGTAAAAATCACAGTGTTTTCGAATAAAAATTAAAAAAAAAACAAAAGCTGGCAGCAGAGCTGCCTTCAATGGTCCAACTCTCCTGACTACGGGTATATAATAAACACATAAAGGAGATGAGGTATTTTTCATCTCTCATCCCCCCCCATATCCCCACCACCCCCCAATGACAAATTATCACAAGCTTGGCAGGGAAATTAGAAGCCATACACGCATTTTGTTTTCCTTTTTTTTCTACATCTCCTTCACTATGTCTCATTGTACTTTTAAGATACTTTTGATATGGTTCTGTAGTATAAACATGGGAAGAATTCTTGACATTTTTCCTAAATGCATAACCACTGGGTCTCTCTTCTGGATCAATCTCAGGGGTAGTTAAAGCTCTAGGCTTGGTCAATTTCTAAGACGACCTTTGAGAGGACCTGCCACAAAGAAACTTTCACAGGGATGACGATTATGATGTTTCCCTTCAGTATGAATTATCAGTAAAATACTTCTCTGGCCAAAATGTTTTCCTGAATAGTTATATTCAAAAGAAAAGGTATTTCACCAGTACGAGTTCCTTAAAATTGAAGTGAATGACTTGCAAAGGCCTTTACACTCTGGTATGAATTTTTCGATGGTGAGTAAAGGATGAACTGTGGCTGAAGGTTTTTCCACATACACCACATTCAAAGGGTTTCTCTCCAGTGTGAGTTCTCGTGTGTTGAGTTAAGGCAAAGTTGTCACAAAAGGCCTTCTTACAGTCTTTGCATTCATATGGTTTTTCTCCAGTGTGGATCCTATTATGACGAACAAAATTTGCCGGTTGGGTAAAGGCCTTCCCGCATTCTCTGCATACATAGGGCTTTTCGCCAGTGTGAATCCTCATGTGTCGAGTAAAGGAAGAACTATAGTAAAAAGCTTTTGCACACTGTTTACACTCCAAGGGTTTTTCTCCAGTGTGGGTCCTATTATGTCGGATAAAAACCGAGTGGTGTGTAAAGGCCTTTCCACATTCACTGCATTCATAGGGCCTCTCACCAGTGTGAATCCTCATGTGCTGAATTAAAGAAGAGCTGTCACAAAAGGCTTTCCCACATTCCTTGCATTGAAAGGGCTTCTCTCCAGTATGAGTCCTCTTATGCCGGACAAAAGTGGAGCGGTGAGTGAAGGCCTTTCCACATTCACTGCACGCATAGGGTTTCTCTCCAGTGTGAATCCTCATGTGTTGAATAAAGGATGAGTTGAGGCAAAAAGCTTTTCCACATTCTTTGCACAGAAAGGGTTTTTCTCCTGTGTGGGTCATATTATGCTGGATAAAAGTGGAGCGGTGAGTAAAGGCCTTTCCACATTCACTGCACTCATAGAGTTTCTTTCCAGTGTGAATCCTCATGTGTTGGGCAAAGGAAGAGCTGTAGTAGAAAGCTTTCCCACATTCTTTGCACAAAAAGGGCTTTTCTCTAGTGTGCGTCATATGATGCTGGATAAAAGAGGAGCGGTGGGTGAAAGCTTTACCGCATTCTTTGCACTCATAGGGCTTATCTCCAGTGTGAATGCGCTGGTGCTCTGTGAGGTGAGACCTGCGTTTGAAGGCCTTCCCACACTCCACACACTTGTATGGTTTTTCCCCAGTATGAAACCTCGTATGTCGAATGAAGTCGGCCATATAACGACAGGCTTTCCCACATTCGCTGCATTTATAGGGCTTCACTCCGGCGTGAATCTGCTGATGCCGAACAAGGGCCCAATTCTTGCTAAACCCTTTTCCACATTCTTTGCATTTATACAGGTTATTCCTTGCATCGGTCACAGGGTCTTTTCTGGGTCCTTGGCAATCATGTTCATGTAGATCATCTTGTATAGTGACTCGCTCCTGTAAAATGGTTAAACACAAACTATCATCTGTCTCCAAATCATCATGTTTATGGCTCAACTTCCTAGGGCATGTCTCCTCGTGGGGGTCTGTTCCTGGCCTCAAGTTTCCTTCCTGCATTTCTGATAGCTTTTCCCGATCCCTGGCTTGCCCCAACCTGGAATCCCTCGAGGCTCCCTGTGTCATTTGTTCCTCAAAAGGGGCTTCCTCAGTGAAGGCCAGCTGAGAAGCAGTAAACTCTGTGGTCTCAGGTTTTGCTTTTTCACCTGAAGGAAATCCAATACAGAAAGGTGTCTATTAGCGATGTCAATGCAGAGCAAATAAAATTACCATCTGAGTGGAAGAATGAAGATGAAATCAAATCCTTCTGACGCCTGTGGCATTTACACATCTATCACGCTCAGGTTTACAATTTCTTTCTTCGCTAACCCACGCACTCTTGACATCTTTAAAAGCTAACCCAGGAAGAAAAACTTGGGCACGGCATAGAGAATGCAGAGTGGAGATGACTCCTCACTCCCCAGAATGGAGGAGGGTGGGCAGAGCAATGACTACACTGTGCGTAACGACTGCGCCCTAACACGTCATGGTATGACAGCACAGGGAAGGTACACATAACTTGGCCCATGTGGGAGACAGAGATCAGTGGAGGCTACCCAGAAAAGGTTCTATAGGAGCTTATTTCCAGAGGAGAGTAGGGGCTCCCTGACAGAAATAGGAGAGAAACTGCAGTGGATGACAAAGTACAAGTGTGCAGTGTCTTGACAGAATGCTGAATGCCAGGCAAGGTGAGGAGGATGAGAGCACGATGAAGATGAGGATGGAGAGGCAGGTGGGGACAGAGGAGACACGAAAGCTCGCGGTTCTGGGCTGTGCGATAGTGGGGGATGGTAAGAAGCTAGCGGGTGGGCATACGGAGTCCACTTTGTGTGGGTAAAGACTAGGTGAACAGATGCCAAATAGGTATCATCTAGACGAAGAGAATGATAAATGTATCACATTAATGAAGATCTGTGTGAAAAGGGAGATTAGTAATATAAAGTTCTCCTTAAATTCACCTACAAATTCTATACAACTTCAGATTAAGCGTTTAGCTTATAGTTTTTCAAGGATAGTGACAAGCTCATTGAAGAATTTATATAAAAGAACAAACACACCAGGATATCTCCACAGAAGAATAAAGCAGGGAGATTTGCCCTTTGAGGAATTAGGATGATGATGATTAGATGCATCAAGGCAGTATGATGTAGGCATAGATTTAAGATAAACTGCCGAACTATCAAAGGAAAAAACAGAATTGAGAACTCAGAAATGTACGTGTATACTTTGATATATGACAGAAGTAGCAGAGCGGCCAATGGGAAAAGGAGGGACTATTCAATAAACGGATCTAGAGAAATCATTTGCCATATGAAATTGCATTCTTCACCTCACACCGCATAAAAAACTAACTCCAGACTGGCTAAGACCTTACTGTCAGAAGCTCAATATTAACAGTTTTTAGTAAATAGTATAAATGAATATCTTTTAGATCTTGGGAAAGTGAAAGATTTCATAAGATACAAAAGCATTAACTGTAAAAGAAAAGACTAGTCAAATTGACTAAATATAATTTTTTAAAAGGCAAACAAGGGTGTCTAAATATCAGATAAAGTAAATGAGAAGAAGAGGGTCATTATAGAATGATAAAAAGATCAAAACACCAGGAAGATGTAACAATCCTAAAATGCATGCAACAAATATCAGAGCCTCAAATCAACCCAAAAACTGAGTTCAAAGGAGAAATAAACAAAACCACAATTACAGGTGGGAAATTCAACACTCCACTTTTTCATCGCAGAAGATACATATTGGCCAATGAACACATAAAGAGGGGCACCTGGGTGGCTCAGTTGGTTGGGTGTCCAGCTCTTGATTTTGGCTCATGTCGTGATCTTGTGGTTCATGGGATCGAGCCCCGTGTCGAGCTCTGTGCTGAAACACAGCCTGCTTGGGATTCTCTCTCTCTCTCTCTCTCTCTGTGCCCCTCCCTGGAGCACATTCTACCCCTCTCTCTCTCAAAAATGGATGAATGCACATTAAAGAAAAAATATATGAAGAGGTGATCAACTTTCTTGAATATGAGGAAAGGGCAAAAAGACCACAATGAGATACCATATATTTACCTGACTGAAAATAAGAACATGACAATATCAGGTGTTGGAAAGGATGTGGATCCATGAAATCGTTATTATAATGCAGGTAAAGAAACAGCAGGGCAGCATCTAGTAACGTTCTCCTTTCGCTTACCTGATGATAATCGAAAAATTCTAGCCCTTGGGAACACTACTAAGAGAAATTCCTACACATGCATGAGGATATAGTGTATGTGAATTTTCATGGCAGCACTCTTTGTGGGTGTGAAAAACTGGAAACAAGAAAATGCCCATGAAGATAAATGAATACACTGTGTTATATTCATGCAAATGACTACAGAAGAAAAAATAAGTGAACTATACCAACGTGCCGGGTGAGTCTTAGCAATACACTGTTGAATAAAAAGTACAAATCACATAAGACAATGTAAACTATGATATGCTTTTTATAATGTTCAAATAAAAAAGCAAAATATACACAAGTACAATGAAGTAATTTTTAAATTTGTTTTGAGAATGTCAGTTTATAATGGTATTATAAAAATGTGTGCATGGGATACACGAACCCCTGTGTTTATACCAGCATTATTTACAATAGCCAAGGTATGGAAGCATCCATCGACTGATGAATATATAAAGAAGATGAAATACACACACACACACACACACACACACACACACACACACACACACACAATGGAATACTCAGCCATAAAAAAGAGTGAAATCTTGCCATTTGCAACAACATGGATGGAACTAGAGAGTATAGTGCTCAATGAAATAAGTCACTCAGAGAAAGACATATACCACATGATTTTGCCCATATGTGGAATGGTAGAAACAAACGAACAAAGGGAAAAAAAGAGACAGACAGAGACAAACCAGGAGACAGATTCTTAACTATAGAGAACAAACTGATGGTTACCAGATGGGAGGTGAGTGGGGGGATGGGTTAAATAGGTGATTGGGATTAAGGAGTGCACTTGTGGTGATGAGCACCAAATGATTAAGATAAGAGTGTAAAAACATATGTATATATCTTGCATTTATTTATTTACTGTGGTAAAATTTATATAAAATTAGCATTTTAAGATGAAACAATCTTAAAATGTAATAGAATAATTAGATGAAGTGGAAACATTCCTTGAAATATTCAAATTACCAAAACTGACACAAGAAAAAACAGAACATATGAATGGCCCTATATTTACCCTCAAAGCAAATCTTGTTATGGACGGAATGTTTGTGTTCCCCCAAAATTAATGTGTTGAAGCCCTAACCTCCAATGTGAATTTGAAGATAGGGTCTTTGATAGAAGCAATTAAGGCTAAATGAGGTAATAAGCGTAGGGCCCTGATCTGATAGCATTAGTGTCCTTATAAGAAGAGACACAAGAGTGTTCTCCCTCTTCTCCCAACCATCCCCAGCACACACACCACATCTGGAAAGACTATGGTCTCCCTTTGTCTTCTTGTGAGGATACCAATCCCATCATGGGAGCTCCACCCTCATGATCTCATCTAAACCCAATCATCTCCCCAAATACTGACCTCCTAATATCACTCTGGGGGTTAGGGTTCCATCATATGAATTTTGGGAGGACACATAAAATGTTCCTCACAGTGTTACATGAGAAAAATCATACAAATCAACTAGCCCGGTATATGGCAAATATTCAATAAGGTGTAGACCACCATTTATTATCATTATTATAGGTGTTACATTTGCCAGTCAGAATGTCAACAGTAATGTAAGAACATTTTCAGTACTGCAGTGCTGAGAAACACTACTGAGTCTCAAAGAGTAAAGGGGAAGATGTCACCTGCTCCCCAGTATGCACAGCAGTGAGGACTACTGGGAATGTGAAATGGTGCAGTCCCTTTGAAACTGTTTGGTGGTTTCCACTGAAGCTAATCATATACCTAGACCATGATCCAGCCAGTCCACTCATTTGCATATTCCCAACAGAAATGTGTGCTATATCCAACAAAAATATCAAGAATATTCGTAGCTGTGTTCTTCACAATATTCCAAAAAAATGGAGCCCAAGCCAAATAACAGTAAAATGGGTAAATGAAATCTATTCATTCACTGAGACACTGCACAGTAAGAAATAACTCCAAATTTGCAACCGCATGACAGACTTCGGAGCAATAATGATTATCAAAAGAAGACACACATAACAGTATCATGTATTATGGGGATCCATTTATAAGTCTTCAAAACTCATCTACAGTCACTGGGTTGAATGCCCATTATTTTTGTAGAAGGAGATATTAACAAGGAGGGAGCACAAGAAGCCTGTGAGGCACTGGAAATACTGGATTTTTTTGACCTGTGTGGTGGTACTCGGGTTTATATGTGTAAAACTTCAGGAAGATGAACCTTTAAGATTTGCACATTCACTATGTGTAAGTTACGCTTTAGTACAGCAATTAAAGAAAATAGTAAAAAATAGTAAAGGGGAGGCCTAGACATCCTGTGTAGATGTCTCTTCAGAGAATGAGAAAACTCCTCCCGGAAGCTTGGCTGTTCAGGTGAAAGAGAGTCATCAACATTTATATGCTGTTGGAGAGCCAAGAGCAATTTTTTTTCATGTTTCCCCCAGGGTCAGAAACTTCACTGTGTTTTCTGAGAGAAGATGAATTAGGTGAGATGGTGAAGATACAGAAGAGGCAAGAAATAAGTTGAAGACTCAAGGTCCCTGATGTAGCAGACTCTTGTTTGGCTTCTTGTAATTCCTAACTTGTGATGCTTACAACCTATTACGATCCCTCTAGCTAAATGCTACAAGGCCTTGATTTTGCTTCTAAAGAACAGAATATGGCATTTGTAACAATGTGGATGGAACTAGAGTGTATTATGCCAAGAGAAATAAGTCAGCCAGAGAAAGGCAAATATCATATGATTTCACTCATATGTGGAATTTAAGAAACAAAACAGATAAACATAGGGGAAGGGAAGGAAAAATAAGATAAAAACAGAGAGGGAAGCAAACCATAAGAGACCCTTAAATACAGAGAACAATCTGAGGTTGGGGGGTGGGTGGATGGGCTAAATGGGTGATGTGCACTAATGAGGACCTTTCTTGGGATGAGCACTGGGTGTTCTATGTAAGTGATGAATCACTAAATTCTATTCCTGAAACCAATATTACACTATATGTTAACTAACTTGCATTTAAATTAAAAAGAATAGAATATGCAAAATGACGGAATGTAAGAGATGAGGTTTTGTGTCCCATCCATCTTGCTGGAGTCTCTCCCACCATCACTTGATCTGAAGAAGGAAGCTGACGTGTTGTGAGGTGCCTATGACTGTGGCTTGTAGCCGACCCCAAGTTGTGCCTGGACCTCTGACCCACGGAAGGAAAACAGTAAATGAGTGATATTTTAACCTGCTATGTTTGTGGTAATGTTGCCACACGGCCATAGATAACTAACACACCTGAAAAGGCAGGTGACGGTGGGATCTAGATCCATGCTGTAGATAAGAACTCTGCTGCAGAGGTGAATCTGTAAGGGTGAAAGAGCAAGAAAACCAAGCACGTAGCCTCTATTCTGTGTGAAGTAGGCCACAATGCTGAGTTACCAGTAACGAGGCAGGTGGTGATATCTGGAAGAAGGGGAGTGGTTGGAAGCAGACGGAAGACACAGAGCAGACCAGAGGCACACAGCAGATCCAGGAGACCAGTTAGACTTCTGTTAGAGTCATGCAGGCAGGAGACGACTACAGCTTGGACTAGGGTGCTGATGCAGAACTGGCAGAGTTGGTGAAGGTGACAGATTCAAGAGACATGGATGATGAAACGTGATCAACATTCAGGAACGGCTGGATAGAGGGTATGAAGAAGGTAGAGGTGTCGCGGGGTCTACTTTTGTTGCTGGCTTTCTTGACTTATTCCATGGTAAGACCATTCATTGAAAATTGGGAGAGGGGAGGCGTGAGCCAAATCGTGAGGTCCCTTTTAGGATGAGAGTGTGAAGTACCTCTGGAACATTCAAGTGAAGATGTGGAACTGCAGAGGCGGGTGAAGATGTGAGATAGATTCTAGGGGTGAGGAGGGGGTGGCCAGATACTCACTGGCTGAGCAGCCAGAAGGAACACGAGAGGAGAGAGATCATGAACCGGCACTGGCACCTCTCTATCCACGTGATGGGTCCAGCTGCCCTGAGCAGCTCAGATGTGGGGCTGACGAGGCAAATGTCTCCCTGAAGTTTTATAAGACAGGAGGGCAAGAAGACAACAAGGCTAGGGATTGTTTCTGAATATGTTTCACGAACGGATGGACGGATGCGTGCACGGATGTACTGAGGAATAAATGAATGAATAGGGAAGGTGGAAAAGGGAGGGATGCAAGGTACAGCTGGAGGCAGTAATCTGCAGCAAAAGAAAGGACTATCTTTTCTGAATTCGGAAGGGAGTCTGAGATAACATTATTCATTATGACTAATAATGCACAAATATTACTCACCTGTAACCTTTCTTACTTTGTCACTTACTTTGGGTCAGTTAATAAACTTGTTAATTACAAGTTTCCTGCTATCTAATTACATTTCCAAACGATCCAATGATGCAGAAACTATCATTACTGTGTTTTCTAATGTAGGCTAGTTTAGCAGACCGAGTGTATGTTCATCATATTGCTGGCCCCTTCCTCTTGGGCACAAAGCTGAACCACATTTCCCAGTCTGATGCAACATGTAGCCTAATACCCAGCTCTTGTCAATGGAATGTGAATGGAAGTGAAGTATGTGTGCAGGCGGATACGACTACAGATCTTCCTCAACCTAGGATGGGGTTACGTCCCAATAAACCCATCAAAATGCCTTTCATATACCTAACCTACCACACATCATAGCTTAGCCTGGATGACCTTAAACATGCTTGGTACACTTACATTACCCTACAGTTGGGCAAAATCATCAAAAGGAAAGACTGTTTTCCAATAAAGCGTTGAATATCTCATGTAATTTATTGAATATTATACTGAACGTGAAAAACAGAATGGTTGTGGGGCGCCTGGATGGCTCAGTCAGTTAAGTGTCTGACTAGCTCAGGTCCCGATCTTGCGGTTTATGAGTTCAAGCTCCACGCTGGGCTCTGTACTGACAGCTCGGAGCCTGGAGCCTGCTTCAGATTCTGTGTCTCCCTCTTTCTCTGCCCCTCCCCTGCGCACAATCTGGCTCTCTCTCTCTCTCTCTCTCTCTCAAGAATAAATACACATTAAAAAAAATTTTTAAGCCATAATGGCTGTAAGTGTACTGGTTGTTTACCTGCAGGATTGCATGGCTAACTGGGAGGTGCAGCTCACTGCACTGCTCAGCATCGGGAGACACTACCCTGCTGCAGTATCACCAGCCCAGGAAAAGATCCAAACTCAAAATTCCAAGTCCAGTTTCTACTGCATGTGTACCACTTTCACACCATTTTGAAGGGGAAAAATCCTAATTTGCACCACTGCAAGTTGGAGGCCGTCTGTCCTCTCCTTCTCTCCTATTCCCCTTGGCGAGTTGGACGGTGCCAGGGCAACCTTATAGCCCCATACCGACAACAGAATGCACCTGGGTCCCTGAATACGTGGTACAGAGTCCCCCTGCTGATCCACATTAACCATGGCATGAATGAGAAAAAAACTCGTTATCTGTTGACTCACCTAGATTTGGGAGTTTATCTGTTATAGCAGAGAGGTAACTTAGCCTAACTTGTCTATCAAAGGTATAGTGAGGTCATGCAACTTCCCCAGGGTCATGAGGCTGGTGAGTGGCTAAGCATTTAGAGCCGTGCCTTACGCTGTGTCTTACTCAGTATACCACATTCTAACCCTAATAAAGCCAGAGTGTGATGAGGAGGAAAGACAGGGGAAATACGGCTGGAGTACTCCACCATCAACCAAGACCCCAGGAAGGCCACAAGAAGCAGCTACCCATGGAATTTCAGAAACAGAGATCCCCCGGTAATCTGTCAGTTGCCATGAAACCCATCTGCCATGACACCCACCTGCCAGATTCTCAGCCACCTACCTGTATAGGTGCTTTTGGAGACGCCTCTCTTCCCTGTCCATAGTTCTTGCCCAGGCTCCAGTGGGTAGATCAGTTCTGGTTTGGGAACAGGATGTCCTGTGCATGGAAAAATAAATGGGGCATGGGTATATAGGTAAGGACAAAGGAAAAATTCTCAAGTATACAGGGTTCAATCTCATGAACCATGAGATCATGACCTGAGCCAAAATCAAGAGTCAATCCTTAACCGACGGAGCCACCCAAGCACCCCGGAGAACTATGTTTCTTATACAACAATCCCTGTCATTGACACAGGGATAATAATCAAAAGGTTAGACCAGAATTATGGTGAGGCTGTGAGGAGAGAGGAAGTTGGGTCCCAGAGGCCTTCTCAATCAGCCATGCTTAGAGAAAGAGGATGGAATGAAAGTCCATGGGTATCACTCAGGAGAGTGATGAGGTCTTACCCAGTGAGACCAGGAGCCCACAGGTCTCCAGCATCACCTCCTGGTATAAGGTCCTCTGGGCCAGATCCAGTTGTCTCCATTCCTCTCCAGTGAAGGTCACAGCCACATCTTCGAATGACACTAATGCCTGCAACGTCAAAGAGAGGTGGTGGGTGGCTGTACATCTAATAAATGAGATGATAACCAATTGCTTGGCCACCAGTGCAAGTCCAGAAAGACCTGAGGCCTGAACCCCTGAGTAATTCCTGAGAACCTAGTTCTGTGCTGGGCTCAGGAGAGAGGCAGAGAGGCAGATGGTGCCTCTGACAGAATAAAAGGTGTAGGAGAGAAAAGCCTCCTGTGTAAGGAAGCCACTGGAGAAAGACACAAACAATGCTCATCTCGTATGGGTTGTGAGCAGCAGATCAAAAGTGCTCTGGGATGTTGGAAGAATGGGGAAAAAGAACTCAAATAATGACAGTAGCAGCGGAGCCTTTCTGGTCCACACTGCTTGCCTGCATCTGAGGGCTTCAGATGCTGTGTTAAAGCAACCAAAAGCCCGTAGGTCTGGAGCTAGACTCCTGGAGTTTAAATCCAGTCTTGGGGGCACCTGGGTGGCTCAGTCAGTTGGGCGTCTGACTTCGGCTCGGGTCATGATCTCACGGTTCGTGGGTTCGAGTGCCGTGTCAGGCTCAGTGCTGACAGCTCGGAGCCTGGAGCCGGCTTCGGATTCTGGGTCTCCCTCTCTCTCTGTTCCTCCCCTGCTCACACTCTGTCTCTGTCTCTCTCTCAAAAATAAATAAACATTAAAAAAAATTTTTTTTAATCCAGTCTTGTGAACCAACACATGCTAACTTCTTTCAGCCTTGATTTCTCTATCAATACAGTAATAGTTTATGCTTCATCAGGCTGGTGTGGGAATTAGAATGTTCTAAAAGCAAACACTGCAAGAGTCCAGCACATGCAGTGCTCGATGGATTTGTGAATTTCTTAACTGTTTCACAGCCCACGAGGTAAGCGCCATCTTCTCCGTTTTTCAACCAGCAAACTGAGGCTCAAGCCATGTCAACCAGAGTTGTCATGCCTAATGAGACGGGGCAAGATTTGAACCCAGGTCCCTCTGGTCCAGCCATGGTGGGGGGGGGGGTTAGATTTAATCTAAGTATGAAAGAGTCCCAGAGGGAAAAATCTTTCTTTCTTTTTTTTAAGTTAATTTATGTATTTTGAGAGAGAGAGAGAGAGAGAGAGAGAGAGTGCACACATGCGTGAGTGTGATGGGCAGAGAGCAAGGGAGAGAGAGAATCCCAAGCAGGCTCTGCACTGTCAGCACGGAGCCCAAATTGGGGCTCTGTCTCATGGACCGTGAGATCATGACTTGAACAGGAATCATGAGTCAGAGGCTTAACCAACTGAGCCCCCCAGGCGCCCCAAGGGAAAAATCTTTCACTCATCAATCACTTATTGGGCACCGGTGCAGGCCCAGCACTTTCTAGGCCTAGGGACAGAACAGACGACAGGACCTCACACTCCAGGGCTGGGGAAAGGTCCCCAACAAGAAACTAAATAAATGAACAAGATCAAGTCACACGGCCCTAAGGGCTCCAAGAACCAACAAAGGACAGTGAGGTGACTGAAAACATTAGGGGACTTATGTCCCCAAGGCAGGGCAACCCGGGAAGGCCCCCAGGGCAACCGGGGAAGGCTCCCCTGAGGGGTCACTGGAACAGGCGGAAGTGAAGTCGGGGAGCGGGCCAGGTAAGAAAAGATGAATAACTAAGCCAAGTGGTCGGAGGCAGGATGAGAGTAAACAGGGTGACGTGCTAGAGAGTAACTGAGGGCCTGTTGTGTGTTTACATCCCCAGAGACACAGCATTCCTGCACACCGTCATTAATGAGAGTCACTTCACAAGCACAGGTTTTCCCCACTATCTGAAAGCAAAGTGTTCCTATGAAAACTTTTCTAAGCCAAAAGGGCAGTAAAGTGAAGAGTATCCCTCACTTTCTGGAAGTTCCCTTTACTGCCACTTTGCTTTTAAGAAAAACTTACATTGGCAACTCTTTTCCCCAACCAAAAGAAATCCAAAGAGGATTTTTGTGTTTACCTTACTAACATAAGTCTCTCCTAAAAGCCAGTGGCAAAATTCACACCTTTGGAAAGTGTAGGAACCTGTATAAGAAAATGTGTTCAACAGGAAAATGGATTCACTGCAAACCAACTTCACTTGTAGTACACAGACGACGCCTGCAGAGTTCAATCCGGTGACTGTCTTGTCTTCCCACCTGTCCAGGGACCTTCTACTGCTATCAGAAAAGCAGCAATTCAAAAAACGCGACTCCCCCCTTACCTCTGCTCTAAAGCTCCCATCCCCTACAGACCTGTGGCAGGGACGGACCAGACTGTCCCTGGAGTGAGCCTAATTGCAGAGCAGGGCCAGGGAAGTCCCTCTCAGAAGCGCATCCAGAGTGATGTTCTCTGGGTCATGCTGAGCACTGAAGGGCACACGTCACAAGTGTACCCTCTCTGATTCCCTCAACTGAGAAAAATCGTTAATACACGGTATTCCAATTTCAGATTCGACGGAATGGAGGCCAAGGGCAGTGAAAGGCAAGCTGAGGTCAGAGGCAGAAATGGGGGTCTCCCCTGACAACCCCTGGCCTGGATTCAGAACCCGGGGTTGGAAGTAAGTAAGATCTGCTCCTCTCCCGCCCCCATTCCTCCAAGACTCCCAGATCCAAGAGCATTAAGAAGGAACGGCCAGGAGTCCCAGGATCTATATCCCATTGAGTGGAACCGTGCGAACACCGACCGCAGCGCGCGTGGGCATGTGGGACCCATCACTCACCAGCGCCGGCGCCGCCATGGGGCCCACGGCCGAGCGAGACTTCGCGAAGCTGCGACTAACGCCCGTCCCAGCGGGCTCAGCCGACCCCTCGCCCCAGCCCTGGGCCGGGTGGTCTGGCACCTCGGTCTCCTCTGTGTAAACGCGCAACAAGGTCCAAGGGGCCGCCTGCGGGTACGGCAGGGACGAAGGGCTGGTGCCGAGGCGGGGGGCAACCCCGTTACAGGTGGAGTCGGGGCTCAAATAGCTCAGGCTGGAAGCCCCTTCTGGGAAGCAGCCTCCCCCGGCGCTCCAATTACAAGCTCCGCTAAGCACAGACCCGTTACAACCAAATGAGGTCCTAGAGAGGACGCCAGAAGTCCCGCCCACTCTGCGGCAGGAAACGCCCCTCTCCGCTCTCCGTCATTGGCTGAGCGCCCGCCTCTGACGTCAGAAACACTCCTGCTGGGTAATGTAGTTTCTGACTGAATCTTAGTGACGGGGCGTGTACTTCCCATTCTCTGAGAAACGTCGTGTTTAAGTTCCAAAGACAGGGCTATGGCTTTTAAGAGGTTGAAGGAGAAGCACATAGAGTTTAGCAGCCCTTCAGCCATACATAAAAAACAGATCCAGAATCCAACCACTTCTCCCACTTCCATGGCCCCCATACTAGTCCAGCCACGACCAAAACTTACCTGGACTAGTGTTAATAGCCTCATCCCTTGCCTTCCTGCCTCCTCCCTTACTCCCCAAATCTGTTCTCCACTCCGCAGCCAGAGAGGCCATATAACTTCACTGTTCCCATCACATTCAGGAAAACATCCAACCTCTCAGGCTACCACTCCACACCCAACTCTTACTCTCCTGATCTGTCAGAAAGAAAAGAGAGCCGTGATTCTCTGAACATTCCCAGCTCAGCCTCACCAAGTATTTGGACATGCTGGTACCTTTGCCTGGGATAATTTCCACTGGTTGCCAGACATAGGAACTGTTCCATATAAACTCAGGACCTTGGGCTTGGGGTTTCCATAAGCACGTTCCCAGCTGAGGTCGAAGAAGATGAGACTCTGCCTTCTAATTTCAGCTCAATGCTGTAAATAAGAGTCCTGTGAATGATATAATTACTGCCACATTTTTAGTGAGGTTGAGCTTTTAGTTGGTGATTTTGCTGTTTAAAATGGGCCGTAGACACAGTGCTGAAGTGCTGTCTGGTGTCCCAAAGCACAAGAAGGCTGTGATGTGCCTCATGGAGAAAACACATGTGTTAGATAAACTGTGTTCACGCATGAGTTACAGAGTTGTCAGCTATGAATTCAATGCTAATGAATCAACAATATATATTAAATAAAGTGTCTCTAAACAGAAACATATATAAAATGACATTAAACATTGATCTATTGATGAAAATGTTGTGCAGGGGCTTACAGGATCCTAACCCTCCAATTCCCCTAGGAGCAGTGATTCCATATTCACTAATTCAGTGTTTGGGGTGACTTTACAGAACATAAGCTATGGCAGAAAATGCGAATAGACTGTAGCTGGTTTCCAGGGACTATTTAGGGGTACGTGCAAATGTACGTCGGATCATGTGTAGACCAATGTTGGAAAGTGCTGCAGAGAGAACAGTGGAGAATAGGTGAGAGATGGAGGCCAGACAGGTGGGGGACTCAACAGGGACCAGAAGTCAGAGTAAAAATGACAGGCTGGCAAATGGGGAAGCAAAGGTAGAAAATTGGGGTGGCTAGTGACTTTGATAGGGAAAAATCTGTTATGAGATGGCCAACAAGGACTGATAGGGGAATTCCAGTCCCTGCCTGAAGACTCCTGTTCCGGGTTTTTCTTCCTACCCCGCTTGCCTCGCTCTCGAACAGGCTATAAATTGTCGCTGCTACTGATGCTCTGGGCTCACACCTCTGGAGAATGATCTCCTCTGAGCCCACCGGTGTAAAATAAACCTCCTGCCTTCCAAGATCTCCGAGTGCTGCTTGGTTCTTCCGCCCAGTGATCCAGACCACTGTCCGTTACAACTTTGATATGAAACAAATGGTAAACATGGGGCAGTTTGCCAGTACATTTGAACTAAGCCTTAACATTATACCCTCCCCGGGTCCCCACTTAGCAGGACCTGGCCCACTGTGAACTTCCCTGGCTGCAGCTGTACTTGTGTCTGCCTGGCCAAGCTCTGGGGGCTTCCGCCTGACCCTGCGCCAGTCGGGAAACTAAACGGGACCTGGAGGACACACAAGTCCTAAGGAAACATAGGGAAGATGAACAACCTAGCACACACAGAACGTGGGAACTACAACTAACATAAAGAACTGTTGAGGAAGTATCTCAGGCATAGCCTGGCAGTCCCTACAAGCATTGACCACGTCAGTGCCCAAATTCTTGGCACAGGCAGACCTCAGAAATATCAGGCGGAGGGAGGGGGAAGAACTTGGGGTAGAGAGGTGCCGCACATCCGGACACAGTCACCTGACTAGAGAGAGGCCAAGCTGGGTGGGAATCATTGACCAGACTGGAAGAGTTCTGACTCCTAAAACTTCTGCTGGGCTTCCAGGCAGCAGACAGCAGGGCTGCTTGGGAGAGGGAACAGTGGAAATAGCCTATCCCGGACACAACACTTAACATAGGGAATCTGGGAATGAAGCAGTCCTCATTCCCATGGTCTGACTGTGGGAAGGATAGAATAGTATCTGGGTAAAAGGGGAAGTGAAGAGCCCAGGCCAGGATGGGGTGAAAGTCTCGCCTTAGCAGGTGAGACTATAAGGGCAAAGTTCTCCAGCATCATGTCATGGTAGAAGAGTCTCTGAGCCTCATCAAGAAACTCCCACTCTTCCTAGGAGAGGGGCACAAACACATCCTCAAACATCACATGGTCCTGCCATGATGGAGACAAGTAAGCCAGTGGTCAGCCTCTCTCCTGAGGAACCCTGTACTACCCTCCACATGCACCCACTGCTCATGCTTCTGCCCAGATCCCCAAATCAGGAACATGGGCCGACTCAGGCCCAGGCACTCAGGCCGTCTCAGGCCCATGAGAGGTGCCCACTCTCTCATCATGGTGATATTGACCGCTGTGTCCAGCCCACAGCCTCAAGAGGCAGGGGGAAGATGGATGCCATCTGAGCTCTGGGCCGTCCCTTCCTGAAAAGAACTGAATTGCCAGGTCCGAGGTTGAAGACTTACCCCTATGCTTCCTTCTAAGAGTTTTGTAGTTTTACCTCATATATCAGATCTATGCTCCATTTTGAGTTGAACATTTTATACGGAGTCAGGTAAGGTTCCAACTTTATATCTTTCATGTAGATATCCAGTTGTCCCATCACCATTTGTTGAAGAGACTATTCTTTCCCCATGGAATGGTCTTGGCCATCTCGTCAAAAATCAATTGATTATATATACATATATATATATATATATATGGGTTCATTCTTGGACTCTCCTATTTTACTGCCAGTACCACACGGTTTTAATTACTATACATTTGTAGCAAGTTCTTTTTTAAAAAAAAAATTTTTTTAATGTTTATTTATTTTTCACAGAGAGACAGAGAGAGAGAGACAGAGCATGAGCAGGGGAGGGGCAGAGAGGGAGGGAAACAGAATCCGAAGCAGTCCCCAAGCTCCGAGCTGTGAGCTTCGAGCTTCGAGCTTCCAGCACAGAGTCCGACGCGGGGCTCAAACTCACAGGCCGGGAGATCATGACCTGAGCCGAAGTCGGACGCTCAACCGACTGAGCCACCCAGGCGCCCCCATTTGTAGCAAGTTCTGAAATCAGGAAGTATGAGCCTTCCAACTTTGTTCTTCCTTTTCTAAGATTATTTTGGCCATTCTTGGTTCCTTGAATTTCCATATGAATTTGAAAATCAGTTTGTCGATTTCTACAAAGAAACTAGCTGGGATTTTGATAGTTGAATCTGTAGATAAATTTAAGGAGTATTGCCCTCTTAACAACATGGTCACATGAGTATGGATGTCTTTCCATTTATTTAAGTCTTCTTTAGTTTCTTTCAGCATGTATGTGACTTTCCATATACAAGCTTTGGTTACATTTATTTCCAAGTATTTTATCCTTTTTGATGATTTTATAAATGAAATTGTTCTCTTAAATCCATTATGGGTTGTCCATTGTTGGTATTACCAACACTCAAAATCAGTTGGTTGATTATGGGTTGATTTCTTTATTTCAGCAGCTTTTTAAGATGTTATCCTACTGCCTTGTGGTATCCATGATTTCTGATGGGAATTGGCTGTTGGTCTCAATAAGAATCCCTTCTACCTTTAGCACTACTGGTGGGAATGGAAACTGGTGCAGTCACTCTGGAAAACAGGATGGAGGTTCCTCAAAAAAAATTTTAAAAATAGAACTACACTACGACCCAGTAATTGCACTACTAGGTATTTGTCCGAGGGTTAGAGGTGTGCTGTTTCAAAGGGGCACATGCACCCCAGTGTTTATAGCAGCTATCAACATAGCCAAAGTATGGAAAGAGCCCAAATGTCCACTGATGAATGAATGGATAAAGAAGATGTGGTATACACACACACACACACACATACACACACACACACACAATGGAGTATTACTCAGCAATCAAAAAGAATGAAATCTTGCCATTTGCAAATACGTGGATGGAACTGGAGGGTATTATGCTAAGTGAAATTAGTCAGAAAGACAAATATCATATGACTTCAATCATATCCAGAGTTTAAGATACAAAACATTTACCTGGCAGGGGAGATACCATGATCATGAAAGTGGTTTTCCCAGGGCGAGGTCTACCCATTGCACTCAGAATGTGCCGACCCCTGTGATTTTCTTAAATGTGGGACACTCGACTGCATAACTTGTGGTAGTGGGGGACTGTGTTTGTGCTTTCCCCTAAACAAAAAAAAATTTTTTTAAAGATACAAAACAGATGAACATAAGGGAAGGGAAGTAAAAATAATATAAAAATGGCGGGGGGGGGGGGCAAAACATGAGACTCCAAAAAATAGATAACAAACTAAGGGTGCTGGAGGGGTTGTGGGTGGGGGAGATGGGATCAATGGGCAAGGGACATTAAACAGGACACTCGCTGGAATGAGCACAGGGTGTTATATGTAGGTGATGAATCACTGGATTCCACTCCTGAAATCATTATTGCACTATATGCTAACTAACTTGGATGTAAATTTAAAAAAAAAAAAAAGAATCCCTTCTACATGATGAACCACTCCTCTCTTGGCTTTCATAATTTCTGTGTTGGGTTTATGACAATTTCATTATAATGTTACTGGGTGTGGATCTCTTTGAGTTTATCCCATTTGGAGATTTGCTGAGTTTTTTGGTGTTCAGATTCCTGTCTTTCTAAAGTCTGGGGAATATTCAGCCAT